CGGACTGGCAAGCTAAACCTGGCTGGCTATCCCTTTCAAGCTGATTAGAAGTTTTCATTGTAGTTATTTACCCATTTCTCTGAAAAACAAATATTTATGAGAGGGCCAATTATGCTGGATCTGTCTTTGATTTAAAAAAAATAAAAGGAATCATTTTAAGATTATGCAGTTTGTCTATGGGACAGAAATCTTTCAGTATGTGGTGGACTAGAATCCTCATAGAGAGAGATTTGGAAGCCCTGGACTGGGATGGAAGTTTCTAGCTGTGATGGCCTAGAATGGAACTCTAGAATGTAAAATTAAGTGGGAAATGTGAGGAGTAGGATATGAATTTGACTCAGGGCCACATTATGATCTCCATAGGCCCCAAACCCTTTTGCCTTTGCATCATCAATATTAAAACATGTTTCTATAACTTCAAATAGTTCAATATTATATGTTTTTTCTCTTTTAGGGAAAATGTAATGGGTTTTCGGTGCCCTACAAATTTCAATTTTTTTCTGGAGTGAGAAAAAAAAATAAAACATTTCTTTGATCCTAAAAGTTAATTGTTTTCTTCTGATTTTAAAATTAAGTAAAATATTTCATGGGCTTCTAAATGTTTGGAGGATTCCAGGCACTGTGCTTCCTGTGCCTACAGGATCAGCCAGCCTGGTTCCAGGTGGAGTAGAAAGGCTTCAGCCTGCAGCAGTGATTGTGGCCTGCTGCTATAGGGGAGCTGGGGTCTGGTGGGCTTCACCTGAGCTTTATCTCTGATCCTGGAACTGACTGGCCTCAGGCTTTTGGCAAAAGTGCCTCCAGTTTGCCAATGCCTAACTTTGATGGCTGCTTCTCTGCCTCTTTTCTAAATGTTGCAACTCAAAGTACAGGAAAGAATAGTGAACTGGAGTCCAGAAGACTAGAGCTCTGATTGCCTGTTTTTTTTGTGTTTTTTTGTGTTTTTTTTTTTTGTTTTTTGTTTTTTGTTGTTTTTTTTTTGAGACAGAGTTTTACTTTGTGTCCAGGCTACAGTGGGTGCCATGGCATTAGCCTAGCTCACAGCAACCTCAAACTCCTGGGATCAAGCAATTCTTCTGCCTCAGCCTCCCGAGTAGCTAGGACTACAGGCATGTGCCACCATGCCTGGCTAATTGTTTGTATATATATTTTTAGTTGGCCAATTACTTTCTTTCTATTTTTAGTGGAGACGGGGTCTCGCTCAGGCTGGTTTCAAACTCCTGACCTTGAGCGATCCACCTGCCTCAGCCTCCCAGAGTGCTAGGATTACAGGCGTGAGCCACCATGCCCGGCCATGATTGCCTGTTTTGATTCTGTGTAGCTGTGTGGCCCTGGATAAGTCCTTCTTCTTAGTGGGCCTCTTCCAATATTCATAAAATGAAAATGGTGGGCTATATAACAGTATCTAAGCTATAATTTATGTCCTATGTGCTTTTGAAATATTCTTAGAAGTCCCAGGGAGATAGATGAAGTCATGTATAATTGGAGACAGTTACACTTAGATGAGAATCTGGAAATAAATTATTTACTGCAGTACTATATTTAAATTCAGCTTGTAATTTTCTGGCAACTGATAAACATAGAGTTCCTACAGTGTGACCAAAGAAAAGACAGCTCTTCTTTAGAGGTTTATTTGGCATTTATTTATACCTAAAAAAAAAGTAGCACTAATGGGATTTAAATTGTTTTATTTTAAAAAAAAGCAAAATTTCACTCATAATTCAACTACCTCTGTAAATCTAACTATTTTTCTTCTAGTCTTTAGCAATGTAAAATGCATAGAAATGCCCTTTACCAGATAAAGTATTTTTGTTTTCTGCTTTTCTTAATCCATGCTGCCACGATGTTTGTCCATGTTATTTAAGGTGTCTGCACAATGTCAATTGGATTTACTTAGCAATTCCTTGGCCATTAGATATTTAGTTGGTTTCTGGTTGTTTATTACTATCTAAAAAAGCAATTGATATTATAATCTTTTCCTTCTTTAGAATAGTTTTTACTGTGTGAATTTACTGGAATGAGAAGATTAGGTTAAAGAGTATGGACATCAAGTGTTTTCTAAGCCTGGAATATTTGCTTCCCTAGGAAATTGTGATTTTACTGTCTTGGGTACCAAATGCTAAGATGAACTTACTGGGGAAATCTTAACAGAACAATAATCTTCTTCAGTTCCAAAGGGTTCTCTATGGATCTGTTGTGAGGCATAATCTATCCATGAAAAAGCAATGGAACATTTTTATTTTGGCTAGATTTGTTACTGGTATTGATATGCTTTTAGTATTTCAGTGTATATAGTCTCTTTATGCAGGGATAGAAAGACATTTTTTATTGAATAGGTAGTAAACAAACTACCTGGGCAGAGGTGGTGAGGGATGGAGTGGAATGCTCAGACGTATGGCACTCCTTTCATATCCCGGAGGTTGGTGAGGAAGTTACATTCACTGTTGTTCCAAATGTCCCAGTGACTGGAACAGAACTAGAATCATTCTGGGTTGGGATGGCTGGGCTCAATTTCCCCACTATTTATGGCTGTGAGAATTTAAATGGAGCTGAGAGTTTCCTTCTTTCCTGGATCTCAAACAGCTTGGTCTCAGAGCGCTGAGCTTCCCCAAGTGTTTCCAGAGAAGACAGCCTGAGGGAGAGGAAGTGGTGCTAATTAAATCCTCCCTCTGTTTTCCAGGCACAGGAGCCTTTCGCAGATGTCTGTTGTTAGGCGAGTGTTCACAGAGTGCACAAATACAGAAGCAGGCTTTTCTTCCCAATGGCACAAACCTTCCTTCACAGGTTACAGGGAACTTTAGAAATGCATTTCCTCCCAACACCCAGTGTAACAGAGGTGGCAGACCTGCCTAAATAGAGCATGTAGCTGCCAGGGAGGCCAAAATACCTCTCCAATCTCTCTCTCTCTCTCTCTCTATCTCTCTCTCTCTCTCTCTCTCTCTCTCAGTCTCTCTCTCTCTCTCTCTCACACACACATACAATTTCTTCTGCTTCTTCATACCTTGTTTTCTCATAGACCAATCTTTGCCTTTTGTATGCCTAACTTTTAAAAATTGTCTAATAACTCAGGGAAGCCCTTTCTGTTCTACGTTAACATAACATCATGGTGGGCATGCTGGACTCAAAGCATGATTGGGAGTCCCTGTGCTACTACAACTCTCCAAGTGGCCCCTAGGTGGGTCCCATCCACTCTGTGATCTTCAGGAAGACAGTGATGGAGTAAATAACACTCCCAGGTTGCTGGCAAGATTAGATGAGATAAACATATTGCAAACTGCGCAAGGCTTTCCACTTGCAAGTTCCCTTATTCAATGTTTTCTTCTACATTCAAATCCCCCAGGGTGACTCTATATATATCCACATTTTCCTGATAGAGTTTGCTCCTATCATTCCAGCATAAATGCTAATAGCACCAGTTTTGTGCCAAAATATGCAAGTTTAAGTAATAAATTATGTGATCATACCATTTTTACCTCTCTTGGATACTCTAGTTAATCCCAATTTCAAAAGTGGAAACTTGCTGGGGTTAGGGGCTTTTTCTTACCTCCTGATATTTCACAAGAACCAACCAAGGAAATTGAATTAAAACCACCTTTAGGACATGCAGACAAATCTGAGAATAACATAGCATTCCCAGTTACATGGTAAAACAGGGCATGAAACTCTCTTACATAGCATTGATAACATGCTCACTGTAGAGAATACTGACTACCTGTTTCAGCTTGAAAGTGGTGGCCTGATTTAGATACACATTTCACTGGGCTAGCTCATGCATTCTATTTTGTTTTGTATTTTTGTTTTGTTTTGCTTTAGATTTACAAAATAGAAACTGATTTAGTGCTTATATTTATCTTATTGTTTATATTTATCTTAAATCATATATAATTGCTAGCATCCAGATGTAAGAAAATAAACAAAAAATAAAATAAAAATCACCTGTAACACTGTAATTTAGAGATAAATATTGTTAATATTTTACTTTACTTCTTTTCAGATCTTTTCAGGGGTCTTCTAACTTATGTTTTACTATATATGCATACACATATATAAGTATATTTACTTATTGCAAGTACATTTTTAATTTTTTGTTTTTTCTTTCTTTCTGAATTATTTTAATAAATATGAATAATATTCATAACATTTGCAAATTACCTTTTTGCATTAATAATATATTTTGGACATCTTTTATGATAAAATACATACATATTTTTATGTATATATTTATGTATGTATTTATACGTATTTGATATATACAATGACAACATTGTATTTCACTATATGATGTAACATATTCTATTTAGCCAGTTTCTTACTAATGGATACTTAGTTTCACTGTGATTTTGTGGTATTAGACCCAATGTTGTGAGTGTCTAATGTTGCTGTGAATATTATATACTATGTTTTTCTATTAGACATAAAGTTGTATATTTTTGTATTATACACAATGTTGTGATGAACAACTTTATATGTGTGTGTGTGTCTTTGAGTATTTGTCTAAATTATTTCCTTAGAATAAATTTTTACAACTGGAATTTTTCAGTTTAAAAATACACTCAGCTCTAAGTGCTCTTATGTCCTATTATTACTCAAGAAGCACACAAGAAGGTGCATTATCATTGCTTTTCACTCTTAAATAAGATTGAAGTCTGGTAGATTTTCAAGCAAAAATGCTATGAAATCTTAAAGAGAAATTATCTGATAATTATTCCATACTGCTTTTCCCGTGTTCAGCATCCAGTCTCCTGGGATTAAATATGAGAAAATGAAACTACCTGCAAGCTCCTTTTCTCTCAGTTTCTTTCCTCTGGCAAATGGCTCTGCAGGATTATGGGTGGTATATTTAGGAATCTGTTTTATTGAGCTGTGTCCATCAATGCCTCTGTATAGGCAATGTGAGGGGTGTTTACAAATTTCAGAAATGACATTTGCTCACCATAGCCTGTTTTGCCATAGCCAGAACACAAGTAACTTTATTTTTCTAATATTTTCTTCCCTTGTTTTAGATTGAAGAAATGTCAACAGTTGGGAATTTTGAAGGATTCCAGCCTGTGTCTTTGAAGCAAGAGGGAGATGACCAACCCTCTGAGACTGATCGCCTGTCCATGGAGGAGGGGGACCCTGGCAAGGATCCAGTGCCGAGGCAGATTTCAAGGCAGTCAAGTGTGACTGAATCAACACTTTACCCCAATCCTTATCACCAGCCTTATATCTCACGGAAGTACTTCGTTACACGGGTAAAATTGTCAGTGCTCTTAAATACTACATAAAAGTTCTTCTTTAAAAAATCTTAAAATCCTTCTATATACCACGTGTTTACCACATGTTTTCACATTTTTTTCATGTAACAGTCATAGTAATCACAGTATCCTTTCCTCTATTTAAAAGTAAAGGATAATTTAAAGATGAAGAACATGAACTTCAGAGAAATTAAGGATCTGTTTTTGATCACACAGATAGTATCAAGGAAAAGCATGTCCTCCAGCCTCCCTGGATCTTTGGTTCCCCAGTCTTGTCTTCATGCTAAACCTGACTTCAAAGAACTAATGTTCTATGGAGAGAGAATCATAGCGGCTAGAATATAAAGCTATGAATTCAGTGAGAGTGTTCATAGCTTGTTTGAAAAAGACATGGATGATGGAGTGGAAAAGGTTGCTCTCAATGGGCTGAATCTCAGGGGTTTACACTGGGATGCTTGTATTACAATGTGGAACAGACACCTTTAAATCTCACACCTGTAGTTGCAATCTGGCATTGTGCTCCCTTACCTGTAATAGAACTGGGAAAGTAAATGGATGGGTGGGTAATGAGGATGGGGCTTGCACATCTAGATGTTAAACTTCTAGCATTTGGATCAAGTGGAGAGCACTTCATGGGTTTCTAGTACCTTTCTCTTATGAGCTCTCCTTCTCACTCATAGATCTTTTCTAATACTTCAACATTCTTTTTTATTTTTGTTTTATTTTTTTATTTTAGCATATTATGGGGGTACAAGTGTTAAGGTTACTTATATTGCCCATGCTCCCCTCCCCCCTCGAGTAAGAGCTTCAAGCGTGTCCATCCCCCAAATGTTGCACATCTTACTCATTGTGGTTGTATATACCCCTCCCCCTTCCCCCTCCCCCCCTCTCGACACCCGATAAATGTTACTCCTATATGTCCACTTAGGTGTTGATCCGTTAATACCAATTTGCTGGTAAGTACATGTGGTGCTTGTTTTTCCATTCTTGAGATACTTCACTTAGTAGAATGGGTTCCAGCTGTATCCAGGAATATATAAGAGGTGCTATATCACCATTGTTTCTTAAAGTTGAGTAGCCAATACTTCAACATTCTTATTTACACAATAGTGGTTAGCTCATAGGCAACAATCAATTGAGGGCAAAATCAAGGAGTGTACACCCTGGCAGCAGAGGCCCTATCATTTTCACACATACATGGGACATCTCTGTTGAAAAATTTTTCAACAAAATCTCATAAATAAATCAGGGCCAAGACTTTGTGACTTTTACAAAATTTTAACTAATGAATTTTGATTTGTTAGCATTCAAAATAGATCTTTGGTTAAGATTAAGTTTTAACTAAAGCAATGCAGTGTGTGTGTGTGTGTGTGTGTGTGTGTGTGTGTCTGTGAATGTCTGTGTTTAAACATTACATAAACTCTTAAGTGCAAGATGCTTTGGTAGGTGCTATACTATGTGTGTGTTTGTGTGAGTGCTTTTGCATATGCAGAGCATATGGTTTGTTTTCCAAAGTATGTGAACTTTATTAGATATGCAAAGTTAAGTTGTAAGATATAGCTGCAAAGGAAATCAAAGCATCCTCTAGATTTTTATTATCTTTCATATTTATTATGTCGGGTTTGGTGTGAGAAGAACATACTGTGTGATACAGAATAGAAGATTTATTATTGGGAGCTGGTGCAATCATGAGAGCTGGCTGAGAAGTCTATGCAAAATTGGTGTCCTTGCATCCGGTGAGGGGCCTGAGAGTAGTAGAGGTTAAACAATTGGCAGTTGTGAAGAGGAAGCAGAGAATAGTGAATAAGGAAAAGCTACATGGGCCAACTGGAATTCCTGATGACAAAGTGTAACTCGTGAGGAAAAGCTGGAGCCTGTTGTCTGTCTCCCACCAACTCTAACCTTGATTATGTGAATCACTTTCAGAAGCTGGGGTCGTTCACCACTGAGCTGCACAAGATAATTACAGAGAGAAGTTTATAGTAGAAGGACATGCAGTCCAGGTGCTGCCCCTTGCTGTCAAATAGGCCAGAATACCAGTTGTCATGAACATGAGCTGCTACAGAGAATGATGACCTGCATTGATCTTCAACAGGAAAATGACTGATGTTTTACTTTTACCTTTCAAATCTTAAACAAATATCCCTGTGGTCAAACCTAATTTGAAAACATACAAAAAAAATTCTAGAAAATGTAGTTCCAATTTAGCTAAATTGACACAATCCAAAGCCACTGCATATGTAGTATAGGACCATAATATTTGTGTGTGGCTTATACAGTAAATTCACATCCTTTATCTTTTGGTCTCCCAGAGCAATATTGTGAGGTCGAGAGGGCTTACCAGCCTTGATTTAAGGGTGACTAAATGGAAGCTTCAGAGAAATGAAGTGACCTGTCCAAGTCACATAATAGTAGTGAAAGAGCTGCAACTAGGTTCTGGATCTTCTGTCTGCAAGTCCAGTGCTCTTTCTACCATGCACAATTGAATGTATGGTTCCTTTATAAGGGTTCTCAATAACTGATTCAATCAATGTAAAGAAAATCTTTTTCATTAGGTATATAGAAAACAACCCGAAGTTCTCAAAAGCTTATGAGGAAAAACCTTCTAATTTTATTAGTGAGTCAAAAGTAGACCTGAGGACTCTTATGAGCTATGAGGGTGAAGTTCCCAAGAAACTCAGCACTTGTTCTGCTTCAGACCAAGGGACATAATATAAAGCATTCTCACTGCCATGTGAGTGTAATGAATGTGCATTAACAAATGTGAAGATAATGAAAAGACACCTATTAGCTCTACTGAAATTTATAATGGTAAACATTTTTAATAAAGGAATGATCTAGTTTTAACAGTGTATAAACCACAAATCTGCTGATGTGGTAGTAGTTTAAAAAATTGAGGGGAGTGTATGCATGTATATATGTATGTGTGTGTGTGTGTGTGTTTGTGTGTGTGTACATGTAAGCATTGCCTGTATGTATGTATACTATTTCCTCATCTGCAAAGTATAGAAAAGACAACAGTTTTATATAGAGATTTACATAAGCTAACTTTGTGAAAGTTCTTAGTAGACTGCATAACACATCTATAAACATTTCATAAATAGCATCTCACTGCTATTATAAATGCTTTCTCTCTCTTTTCTCAATATTACATTCACATTTCTGTTCTGGTCATAGGGAATGACATTAAGATGCCCATGACCTCACCATGACCTCCAAGGTAAAATATAAATGTAGATGTACAGGGTGGGAGCCGTAAAGAGGAAGGTATTTATTTTCTCAAGGGATAATTAAATAAGACCGACTCTTAAAGGGTCTATGAAGGAGTCATTATAAAGTATCATTGATTAGAGCTGAAATGATATCTACAGATGATAATCCAGTGCTTCTCAGTCTTTCCTGTGCAAAAAATTACATTCTGCATTTGTACAAATTCGCTAATGATACTGATGCTTTCTGTCCATAGAACACCAAGGACCTAATCATCACACTTGTCTTCAGAGATAAATAAGGCCCAGAGGGGGGGATCTTCCTGCTCAATGTTACAGTAATTAGTGAATTTCAACTTGCCTAAAAGGCTGGTAAGTGACAAGGCTAGGGCTAGAACCAAAGTTTTCCAATTCCCAGTTCATAGTTCAAGGACCCCATGCACACTGTCTGGGGGATGGCTACGCTTGAAGCTCTGACTTGACGGGGGAGGGGAGGCAAGGGCAATGTATATAACCTTAACATTTGTACCCCCATAATATGCTGAAATAATAGAAAAGAAATAAGTTTATTACAGAGCAAGAATTTAAAGCATACATGTTTCAAATTCAGAAGGGTAGTAAGTAATTGAGTGAAGGAATTCCTTGGTCAAGCATTTTATTTTATTAAAAGGTTTAAAAATCATTGCATAGGAGATGGCTTATTGAAAAAACTTAGAAAATATGGATAAACAAAATAAAATAAAAGTCACCATAATCCACTGCACGAAGTGAACCCAAATGTACTAAATGTGTTCTTATACATTTAGGTACATATAATTTTTTACTTTTTTTTTTACATTTACAATTTGTTGTATATGAATAGGATTATATGACAAATATTTTCTAGGCTCATAATATGGTTCAACAACATCATTTTTAGTAGCTCCATAATATTCCACTATGGGGATATACCATAATTTATTAACTTTTGTTGGACATTTATGTTGTTTCCTGTTTATGTCTTTTAAACTAGAAAGGAAAGATACTCACTGGCTTCCTGTGGCAGGGTAGCACTCAGTTTCTCAGACTCCAGGAGTAAACGCCCAATGCTATAATAAAAAGGGGGATCAATTGTATGAGTTTCAAACTGGATTTGCCAAACGTTGACTGATATGAAAATATACATTCATTATTGACAAACAGAGTGAATTTTAGCATCATAATCTCATATATTAGATTATACCTCTGAATCCTAGATCATAAAAAAAATGTGTATCTGGCCCTTTAAACCTCTATGTTCTTTATGGGTTCTTTGGGATATAACTTCCTCTCTTTGGGCTTCCAGTCTATTGTTTATTTCCTGAAACCATGCCCCTCTGACTTAGATTAGGAGCAATCTGCTCAGAGCCAGAAGAGTCTTAGGGAATATTTAAATCAACCCATAAAGCCCACAAAGTAGGTGTGACTTGTCGAAAGTCAATTGGCAGCCCGTGGGCCATGCGAGAACAGGCAGGCCTTGAATTCAGGATTCTAGACACTTTCCCTCACATCCTATTGCCTTTGACCTTGGAAAATGAATGAAAGGTCATAGAAATGAAGTCTAAACTACTTGCCATCAGTCTTCTTGGATAACCTTTTCCTCCTGTTTTAGTTCATCTGCTATTATTGCTTAGACATACCTAAAAAAGGCCTAGTGCCTTCTCTGAACAAAAGTACCCCTCAAGGCTAATAGCTAGAGGTATATTATGATAATCTTCTTAGTTGTGGAGACTGATATTCAAAAGCAACTTTTTATGAAAGGAACAATACTTAATCCACATGGGGAAAGATATTTTTAAACTCCCTGTAGGACTCTATATTTGCAGATACCTTATCAGAAAGTTGAAAGCGATTTGGGATGGGGAATTATCTCTAAATTTATACTTGGGAATGTAAATTACATATAAACTAATGGGACTAAAACTATTTGATCTTTTAATATTTAATTAATGGTTCCCCATGGCCTTTTTATAGCCTGTGTTCTATTGTGAGCAACAAGACTTTAATAAGCAGGTTCAGGACTTCCCATTGTGTAGCAAGATGTCATTGCTTCCATGACACTAATTTGGCTTTCATACTCTCTCCTTTTCCCTCTTCTCTTGCTATAGGGTTCCCTGTGTCTTTCTCTCACATTGGGAACAAATACATATATTAGCTGTATTGTTATTGTCTGTTTGAGCTTCTTAGTGGTCTAGAAAATAGATATTGTATTAGGCAAAATGTTTCTTGATTCCCTTCCCATCCCACCCTACCACTGAAATCCACTGTAGATTCTAAAAAAGAAGATTTTTTCTTTGTGAGAAAAGACCCTTAATTGTAATGAGATAAGAATCATTCTCTTCATTTCCAGAGAAAGACAAATTTGTTTGGACTTTACAAATCATATTTGATTTAGAGCTGATTTTCTTATCTTGTGTGTTCATTGCAAAGTGATCCCTGTGTGGCCATGATAGTACCAGCAAGAGAGATGTGTCTGGATCCCCAGAAACTTTGTCTATGTCAACCTTCCTCTTAATGTTTAGCAGAGAAGCTCATTGTATGGGGAAAAATTAGTGCAAGCATGGACATCATTTGTGTGATAATTGGCTGCAGCTCAAGAAAATGCAAGGAAACAAACACATATGTCTTTGGCACTCCCCCAGTAGGCTTGCTTTGACTGAAACTATTCAGTGCTAGATTACAAGAGATGATATTGCCCATTATGCTGTTGTGTCAGATGATGTGCACATATTATTCCATCATATTTTCCCATTTGTCTTAGGCTGTAAGGAGTCTCAGAACTAATTTTTCAATTGCAGTAACCATTTTATCCCCAAATTCTGGTATGACTACTTCCCTTCCATTTAATATGAGCAATAATGAGAATGATGATAATACATTTTATTATTCAGTATTTATCAATTTTTTATATACAGTTGTCTCTTGGCATCTCTCAGTTACAGGTATCATTACGTTATCCCTTTAACAAATGAGCAAACTGATGTATAGAATGACCAGATGACTCATGACGACTCTGACAGCCATGAGAAAAGCTAAGATTTAAACCTTAATGGCCCAGGCACAAGTCAAAGTACTCACCCACTTTATTTTATTTTGACAGTAAGTGGCTGAATTTAATGTATTATATTAACTAAAAATGATAAAATGAAGGAGAGTATAAATCTCTATTGGGTACATTTCCCTTCTATATTCTATACAAACTTGACCAATGTTTCTACTAAAGATAGGAATAGCACAGGCAGTGAGAACATTGACAGAACTCCAGAGGCTACCAATTCATTCCGTAAAGAACACTTTGTTTTTAGCATTTACCTTTTGAAAAAGTGTACAGTAAAACATCATCTTCATACTCTATTCTCATCACATTCCTTCCTCATCCATAAGGAATCACTGTTAATATTAAATAGATTCTATATATCTTTCTAGGGTTACTTTAGCCATATATAAACAAACACAAATATTTTTTTCTTATTCCTCTCCATTTTATACAGAAGTTAGCATATTTTACCTTCTACTCTGATCATCTCTTTCACTTGATAATATATTTTAAATTCTTTCTGCATTAACAATTTTATTTATTCTTTTTATACCACCATCATATTACATTGTATGAATATTCCCTATAATATGCCCAACTATCCCATATTGATAGATATTTGTAGGGTTTTTCCCCTCAATTTTTTGCTATCCACAAACATGGCTGCAAATAACACTTTACAGGTACGTTGTTTTGCACATATGCAAGAATTTTTATAGTATAGCTTCACAGAAATGAAATCTGGATCAAAGGATAGATCATTTTTAATTTTGATAGATTTTGCCAATTGTTTTCCATAGGGAAGGCAAGTAAGGTTTTGAAAAGTTCTACATTATTATATATATTCATCTTCACATATTTTTGGCAAAGTGCCTGGCATAAAAGCATTCAACAAACTGCTTATTTTAGGATTACTTCATTATTATCCAACTTCACTTATAATTTTTTTCTGAACAGTATTAGACTCACTACTGAGTTATATTTGTTGAGGCCAAAATTATGTGAATACTGGAAGAGAGACAGGAAAAATACCCATGTTGAGTCATCAAAGCAAAATTTTTTAGAGGACTTTGACCAGTGGGCCTGAGCCTGGTAGAGTCAGACAGCATCACAAGGAATTGAGGTTCGGTAAAGGAAGAATTGTCATGGGATTATAGGGAACTAGTCTAGCCCTGCCAGTAGGGTAACTGGAAATGAGTGATGTTGATACAACCCTCTCTGTCGGCAGAAGTTCAAGGCACATTTGATTGATATATCAGAAGTTACTGATTTCATGAAATACGGGTGTCGGCAAGCATTGAATGCCATATTAGCTTTCTGGTAACTCTTCAAGCTGCAGCAGAGGATGATAGAGATCAGATGTCATTCAGTTCACTGGCTGACTACCCAAGCCAATGGGAAACTTGTTAAAATGCCAGAATTAGAATCTCTCAATGAAAAGGCTGTGATCATATCTTTTTGAAGATTTACAGGAAGTTTTGATCATCAGCTTGGCTCAGAAAGTTTTAGTTTAGTCCAGTCAATTGCCCTATAGATAAGGAAATGGAAGCCCAGGATAGTCAAATAATTGGCTGCAGTCACAGAATGAATTCATGACAGATCTGGAATATGAACCATGTCACCCAACTCCATTCAGGAGCTGTCCTTTCCATTTCCTGGAAAACTCGGGCTGTGTGGAATGATTTAAAGGTGCAGGCAGGGGAGCTAAGTAGGTAAAACCATATCATTCACCCTCACTTCATCTGAAGCAGCTCTACTCTTCTCCTGTATTTCATGTATGGATACTCACTTAAGATTTTTCTTAACAATGGGCACTGTGACCTAAATGTTTTAAAGCTTTTTATCATAGTTTGAGGAAACAAACACATGAAAATGCTACAACCATCTTACCCCCAGGAGGAAGAGGTACTGAATGCATCCTAGCCAGCCTAGTATCCCTATTTTCTCTTGGGGAAGATGTGCACCAGGTTGGGAAGTTAGATATTTGGCATTAAAGTCCCATTATACAGAGAATATATGAGATCTTATAATCTACTTGAGGTCAGCACTATGTTGTGGGCCTGAAAATGAAAGATCTAGGTCTCTTGTCCTGTGTCTGCCACTTACAAGATGAGTGAACTTGGCAAGTTACTTCCCACATTGGCTATAGTTTCCTCATCAATAAAATAAAATGGCTTAGACTAGATAAGCCCTGGGCTGTAGTGGTTATTAACCTTGGCTGCACATTGGGATAATCTGGAAGGCTTTAAAAAATCCTGATGTACTGATGTGTGAATCCCATCCACTGAGTTTCTGATATAACTGGTCTGGTATGTAGCCCAGGATTAGGAGTTTTAAAAGCTCCCTGGTGAGTCTGAGGTGTAGCCAAGATTGACAATGACTGCCTAGAAAGCAATGATTCTCTTAGGATGGTCTCCACACCAACAGCATCACCAGGGAACTTGTAAGACATGCAGGTTCTACTCCATACCAATGGAATCAGAAAATCCGGATATGTCCCAGAAATCTGTGATTAACGTATGTTCTTGGTGATTCTTATGTGCACTAAAGTTTAAGAATCATTGAGTAGAGGGTCTGTGAGCTTATTTGAACAGGTACCAATCAATCTTTATACCAGAGCTAGGCACATAGTAGGAATACCCGTCTGGGGAAGGATGAAGAAATTGAGGTGAAGAGACTGACAAAGTTCATCTCCTAGAGTCAGCTAAAATTTATGATCAGTGCATTGGAAGACAGCTGCTGTTTTGTGTTTCATTGATGTGCTCTATGAAGAGGGAAAATGTTTCATTTTAAGATGCATAGATTGCTAAATACTTTTAACTTCCTGATAAACATGTTTGTTTGGAAAAACTGGCCTTCTTAAAATTGGTTGTCTCCATTTCTATGAGAAAGTATGAGTAAGATTATAGAAGATAGGACTTAGATCACTTTTGCTCCACCTGAGGAGAACAGCTTGGTTAATACCAGAGTTCAAGACTAAATTCTCTAGCAGACGGTGCCTAGAACAAATGGGCAACTGCAAGAACCATATCTTTCCTGAGCTTGTTTCTGGAAAAGCTGCTGGAATATACTAACTAGCACACACTCATAAGCACACAGTGGGCTCAATCTTCTCTAAACTACTTATTTTCTTCTTCCCACTCAGCCAGGGGCTATGGAGACTGCCATAGAAGACTTGAAAAGCCACATAGCTGAGTCTTCTGGAGAGACTATTCAAGGCTTCTGGCTCTTGACAAAGTGAGTAGTTACAGTCAACTGAAGGGCAGTGGAATTCAGATGCATTTTCCCTGATACTACTATGAAAGAATGGGAGATGGAACTGGGATAGAATTTCTCTTGTTGCTGTACATGATAAATGATTGAGTTATCCAGTTAGGAAGTCATTTCAAGGTGTCTCCTGGCTCATGGTACAACCATATTTGATTCCTTCAACTGTTTTTCGAGTTGGTCCCCTCATTCAACCATCCACTATGTCTATCTTAGGTCAGGCCTGTACTATTGCTCTCAAAGACTGTTCTATTGGCTTCTTAATTCCCATGCAATAAAGGGAAGACAGGAAACCTCTACAGAGTTAGGATAAGACCCAAGTCTAACACTTAAATCCTTATTGCTTTACTAACTGCCTGCATTCACCCACAAGGCTTATTTTAGCTATAAGAGCTCTCATTGCAAATGTCACCATAAAGATAGTTTCCTTTCTGTCCTGTCCAAAAACTCTACTGTTTGTGTGGCCCTTTCTTCACTGACCAGGTAAACATCAGTAAAGACAAGGTCTTTATAATGATGAGTAAAATATCCCCATAATAAGGAGAAGAGACAATTATTTTTCTACTACAGAACCCATAGTGTTAAATAGATAATGTGATCAGAATATCCATTTCAGATACTTAATGGATTCGGTAAGTTTGCTTTTCTAGCTTAGTAATCTGATCACCAAAGGATGTAGCAGAGAAGCGCCATGATTCCTACACCTTGAGAAAAGAATTATTTAATCTTTCACCCGTGGGCAGGACATCTTCTTTGACTAAGTTTTAGGAGGGCAACATTTAAAAGTTTAACCAACCAGGACAGCAGAACAAATGTTTCAATCAATGGGAAGTAGAACCAGATCACCTGTGAGTCCATCTTACTGATCACCACTTTATACTACTGTTTCAAATGGGTTCTAAGAATTGAATGAAAATGAACTTTTGAAAAGCCTCCTGTCTATCAATTTTGAGCCTTTACTTTTTCATTCATAAAATGTAAATAATAATATTTACCTGAGAGGACTAAATGAGACAACACTGGTAAATTAACAAAGTACCTAGCACATAGTGGACTTTCAATAGTCATAGTGTCCCTCCTCTGTTCACAAGTACTAAAGATTGGTAAAAGGCTTTTTATTCATTTATTTATATTATTCATTTATTTAGGTAACCTCTGCCTTCATTTCTATCCTTATCCATCTCTACCATTTCTGGGTTACTTATCTCTGATTAAAATCCTATAATTCAGGCTTTTTCTTAATTCATTTTCACCAATCCATACTTCGGTCTTGATTCCCTACTCCCCATCTAGAGTAAACCCTGACTTACATAAATGAATACTCTACCTTGATTAGGAGATATCTCTACATAGATTTTGGAGATCCAATCAGATGTAAACACTTAACTAACTTGTTTTCATAATGCTTCTCCTTATAGGGAAGAATTCACAATGCATAAATGTGGTATTTCAAAATCCAGTCATGGCTGCCTTTGAGTTCTCAAACAATAGAACCAGTAATTTTTTTAATGTTGCATTTTTTAATTGTTTGGTTTTATTTGTATGGAAATGTGTCTTTTTTGCTTATTTATGTTTGTTCAGTGATTATAAAGACACAGATATAAACTGTCCAAAGATAAATCAGATTGATCTACATTGGAGCATAGCACTATAATTCTACATGCTTGATTTAACATCAACAAGAATGATTGGTAAAACAAGTAGTTTTCAGATAAATATGAACAGCTGTGTCCCAAACAACCAAGCTTTGAACCCAGGTTCAAACCTAATAGGAAGCTCAAATGCCTATCTAAAAACTCATTTTCTATTTCTTTTTTGTTCATGGTACCTATTTAGATTAAAGACAATAATGAGCAATGTATCCTATGCATGTGGAATTTCAAATAATTGTATTTTCTTATTTGCTTTCAGATTTTCTTCCTTTGTGCCTTAAACCCATCTCTCTTCTTTAATTGGTAGTTCCTTGTTGTTCTTTTTGAAATTCTTCTCTGCCAAAATCCCTCAGCAACTCCTCCCCATCAAAACCTACTTTCAAGAAAAGTTCTGATTTCAGTCATTTGTATCATAGTGAGAATTTGCCAGTTTGCTTTCTTTGCTTGTTAAATCTTATAGTTGGCTCAGAGATGCCTTATGCAATGGAAAGAGCTGCCAGTTTAAAGAAGATGGTTCAGGCATCTGGACTAAATAAATGAGGTTCCCGGTCACTGTGCCTTTTTAAGAAGAAGAATGAAATGTCCCATTGTCAGAGGAAGGAGCTTTCATGGAGGGTTTGAATGAACTTTCACATTTATGACTTTTTGTTTGTTTGTATATTTCCTACATTGTAGTATATCAATGTAGGAAAAGGCAAAAGCAACAGCAACAGTGAAAATACATAAATAAAAAAAAAAGTAACCTACCCTAAAAAACAACAAGGGCAAAACAAAATAGCTAAACAAAACAAACACATAGGCTCAGAAAGGTAAGAGCCTGGGACTACTCCTGTCCTCCTTGCCTCTTTTTTATAATGGAATGAGGCTCATCCATTCAGTTCTTATGAATTGCAGAAGCTGTAATAGAGACCAACTGCTCGAACCTCACCAACCATAGAAGATCCTCTTCAAATATAACACTTTTGTGTATGACAAAAGTGACTGAGCTTCATGCACATTAACTTTAAGCTCATTCCATGGAGATGAGAAAACCCTGGCTGCTCATTTAGCATTTTGAAGCATGTCTGCTTTCAGACAAGTATTCCATTTTCAGAATGACGACAGTAAAAGCCCTTGTAATGCATATAGCACATTACAAAGTATTTTCGCATCCATGAGCTTGCTTTAGCTTCACAACAACCTTGCTGGTTTTATGATTCTCATTTTACAAATGAGGAATGTAGGCTGGGAAACATGAAGTGGCCAGATGAAGAACGTTTACCTGGTAGAGCAAGGAAGATGGACTGCACCCCGGTGTTAGCTTTGGGGCTGATTAGGTTCTGATCCTCTCTTAAAGGATACAAGATGCAGATGTGGGATGATTGATGAACTCAGCTTAATCTTAAGTCATGGTTGGTCAGACTCGTAGAAACAGTCTGATGTAGGCGGGCAAGGTGGGAATTGCTGTGAGAGGAGACTGAGGAAGTGCTTAAAGGCTGTTGTGTCATGTTAAAGAACTTAGATTCCATCCCATGGGTGATGGGGAAGCACTAAAGGGTTGAGAAAGTGTGACCACATTTACATTTTATGAAGAGTACTATAGGCCCACAATCTCTTATCTAAAATCCTTGGGACCAAACGTGACTCAGAATTGAGAACTTTTCGGCTTTTATTTAACAGAAGAGAAGGGTAAAGCAATGTTTATTTTTCTGACATTAAGTCAGTAAACTATTGTCTAAGAGATGTTGCCCAAATTAATTCCAGTGAGCTACTTTGCTATGTTTTAAATTGATATGAATGTACTATTCAGTACAATTAGAAAGATGAATTTGAAGGCACTTGGGTGGTGGACATAAGGAGAATGAACAGAGAGGCCAAGAGGCGAAAAGGAGAGGTGCAGCCCTATGTATGCACCAGCTGTTCTCAGTTGAGCTGAAACCATTAAGATACTCCAAGGAGTTTCCAATGAGGGTCCAAGCTTCCAGCCCAGCTCATCCAAAAGCTTTATATGCCTCTACAGCTATAAAGACAGGATACTGTTTATTCCCACCTTACCTCCTCCTCTGCCCTCTCTCTTGGCTCTTTTGAAAAAAGACTTTTAAAGGAATTGTGTGTATGCTTTCAGAAGTGATCCATTAAGCCAGCACCAAGGAGAACATCTTGACACTCTATGAAGTCTCAAAACGTATGATATGGTGGCAATGAAGTGGCTCTTCAGCAGAATGTACTTGAAATGTCTTTGTCTACAGTGCTTGAAGAAGCAGGAGGAGGCGGCATCTTCCCTCCACACACATTAGTGTCAAGTGGTGGTAGGGGATTGTTGTCGTTCTTACTGCTAATTGAGAAGACTTGCCTATGGTGGCTGTGATCAAGGAATTCTTGCTCTTCATCTTAATACAAAATACTTAGAATATGTTTCATTATTTGCTCCCCCCTCCCCCAACTTATCTGGTTTCTATCCCAGGACTTTAATAAATATGTGACATCTAGTTAACTATGTGGAACATAGAGACAGTAGAATCAAAGTAGAGTTGAAGAGGCAGCCTAGTGTCATAGAAAGAAGAGGGTTTGGCTTTGAATCCTGCCTGGATCTGCTGCTTACTATCAGTATAGCTGGGTGAACTTGGGTAGGGTTTGCCTTTCTTTTTTTTAAATTGGTGAATTTGTTTTAATATGTTATTTCATTCATTAGAAATTCACTGCTCTTAACAGAAGCACAAACACTATTAAATTTGGGTATATATCATTTCAGGTTTTTCCCATGCATTGTTGCCCAAAATTGTTAGTTATTAATAGTAACATTTATCAAGCACTTAAAATGTACCAAGTGTTATGGTAAATGCTGTCTATGCATTTGTCATTATATGGGTCTAAATGCATATAGTTCAATGAACTTCTGTAAATGGTACTTCTCTCAGCTTTTTCCTTGTATTTTTCTCAGTTACCATGTAATTTTCATAAAGTTACTCAGTCATTCACCTATTATTGAACAATTACTTTCCAAACTGTCAGTGGCTACACAAATTTAAGGGTTTATTAGTATTCTTTTAAAACTGAAGCACCAAGTAAGGGATATCTATCAATGGGGCAGAGTAAGATTTTACGATTGGAAAGAGAAATGAAAATATATGAAGCACCCTCATTTATTTTTTAATAAAGCTAATAAGCAATATTTCTGTAGCAAATTATAGTTTAAAAATGCTCTTCTTTTTTTAATTTAATCTTCACAGTAATGGTCCAAAGTAGGAAACATTACTTCCAGTTTATAAACGAGAGAATACAGGCTCCGAAGAGTAACACAGCTCTAGAGTAGCAGAGATAGGCCTCCAAACACTTAAG